TATATATATATATATTGTTCAAATGACTGAAGAAAACCAGCATCTGATATAATATATTTGGTCTGCCATTTTATTCCAAACGTTATATTTAGTCTAGTATATGTAGGCTTATGCTTTAGTTTAACAACTTACAACAATGCTCAAATATTCAGTAGTATGTACATTTACTACATTTGACAAAATGCTTGATGCTTTGGCACATGAAGGTGACTCTTCCACAGTGATGCTGTAAGAGAAGTGTGCGTTTTTCTCCGCCATCACCAAAAACAAACAAAACATTAGGATTCCAGACAAAAAGAACCAAACGGGGGAAAAACTAATGGGTTAAACATCACAATATAGGGATAACAACCAATGGAGATTCCACACCACTCACTGAAAGTATATCTGGTGTGTTTTGCTATCAAACAAATCATTGAAAAGAAATGAACAGTATCTGGTGCATCCACAGAGATGAGATGGAGCAGATACAACAGCACTGCTGCAGAGAGGACAACACATAAAGAAAATCAAAGGGCCGGTCGGTTGGTTGGATGCAGGGAGTCTTTGTTAGCACATGAAGGATGTTTTGTTTGATTAGTCAGGTCTGTTTTGCGGGGTGAGCGGCTGCTTTGATCTGGGTCACCTCGATAAGGCAGGGGAGGGTGGAGCTGAGTGTCCTGACGGCAGGGAGGGCATCGATGATCTCATGTGGGGGCCGTCGGGCGGCCGCTCCGTGGAGCGAGAGCGGCTGTACATGGGCCGCTCCAGTGCGGACCGCTGGTCTGCAGAACGGGACCTGTGGTGATACTCGTGCCTGTCTGGCGCTCCGTAATTCCTGGAGAAACGTGATTGGGGGAAACAGGGCGATGTTTAGTGTGGGTGAGGTCGGTTGAGTCTCAGAACGCCGCATGGCATTCTGGGAAAGCACTGAGAGGAGAGACTCTAACAGCTCATGATAAAGTTGTGTCGTCTTTGGCACTTGGAAGCAACCAATATATGAGTCTAACCCCATGGTTCTGTTCAGTGATAAACAACGCGATTTAATAAGAATGAAGGATACATTATAAAAGCATAATTAAGTTCAGATTAGGACAATGAAATCCAAAATCACAGCACTCAGATCACAGATGCATACAAATACACAAGAAATAGATTAAACAAATGAATTAATTATTATTAAAAACTATGGAAGGAAAGATTACTCTCAGATTATTCCCACATTTTTACAGAAGGAAAAATCCCATCCATTTTATTCAGAGAGAAAAAGATTTTCACAGATAATGTAAAATATTACACAGGATTTCTGCAGGTTTTATGAAAGTAAATTTAAGACTTTTTAAGATGTTTTTAAGGCCAAGTAAAGAACATTTAAGGAAGAAATTGAATGGAGCACAATATGACAAATATATCCAAATATGTTCTTCATCAGTATTTTTGTCTCGTTTCCCGTGCAAATGTTTGAAGATTCTTAAATCAAGTGGCATTTACTTAAGAAGCAAAATTACATACAATGAGAAGTCTGCCTTAATTTGTGGAAGGAAAAAAATAAGGATTTTTAGGAAACTTAAAGACCTGCAGAAACCTTGCTTTCAGGACAGTCCTCCTTATCACTCACTGATGTTTTTGTTTGTTTGTTGTAAATCCCTATGGAGAAAATGAATGGGAAACCAACACTGCTTAAAACATTTGGCACAGTATAACATACTAAAACACAAGACAACACAAAAAGATGTCTAGTGTCTGAAAAGTTGTCCAGCATCAAAACACTAATTTATTAATAATACATTAAGATAAATAAAGTGACACTGTAAAAAAAAGGCTGTTAAACACAAAAAATATATGTAAAAACTGAATAAAAATATTTCTTACATAGCAACAGCTATGTTGCTATGTCAAGCCAGCTTGAACAGCTAAAAAAATATTGAAAAATGAAATAAAATAGACACAAAACGAAAGATCAGGGAATGGGTTTAGGACATGAAAAGCTGCACAAGCTCTCATTTGAATTTTTGCATGCAAATGAAAATATTATTAGCATTACAGTATTTTAAGCCCATAATTTTGTATTGTAATATTTTGAAAGGTCAAAGAATAACAGCCAACATCAGCTGGTAACTTTAATTATAAAAGAAAGGGGAAAAAACAATCATGCTAAAAGCACAAAATGTAGCTACTATTTGTTGAGGAAATAGAAAACGTGAACGTGGTCAAAGTATACTTTAAAATGACTTTGTTTAAGAGCACGTGTTAGCCATTTACCACTGTAACCAACAATAAAGCGACATCTTCACTGCTTTGCTTGTTTTCAGACAAAATGTTCCTTGGTGTAGGCAAACTTATGCTTTAAACATGGACAAACTACAGTAGTCAACATTTGAAGTGGATCAAAACCTTTCTTCAAAGTTGTCCTAAAACCTAAATTAATTTACAAAATAAACTTAATAAAAAATATATTCAATAAGCAAAAACATGAGCCAAGATGAGGGCTGTGCTAAAGACGTGGGGTTTTTTTGGTAGTGAAATTGGCCCAGCTCATGACAGGGCAGCAGGGATGCTCTCGTTGTTGGATATCATCCCATATAATGTCTTCATCCTGAAATAAAAAGGCTGTCGACATTTTAGACAGGCCATAAATGGCTGACCCAAATAGACTGCAGCACTGGTACCCCTCCATGTCTCTGTACACCTCTATGATGGGCCGTCCTAGCCGGACGCGGTAACCTGACCACCACCCGCTGATTGATGGAACACACACTATTGCCACGGCTGCCAAAAAGACAGATATTTGGAACTCACCACATAAACCATCAGAGTGTGCATTACACACACCCTCAACTTCATCAGGGTTTAAAGGAAATTCACAGGCCAACCAAGATGAAGATAAGTTTGTTTCAGAACAGATTTGGAGAAACGTAACATTGTATCACTTGCTCACCAATGGATCCTCTGCAGTGAATGGGTGCCGTCAGAACGAGAGTCCAAACAGCTGATAAATACATCACAATAATCCACAAATAATCCACACCACTCCAGTCCCACAATTTTAACAACATGTGAAGTTAAAAGCTGCATATTTTTATAACAAATCCATCATTAAGGCATTTTAACTTTGAGCTGTCACTTCTGGACAAAATATCCATAATCCATAATAATGCTTCCTCCAGCGAAAAAGTCCATCCTCTGTTGTTCAAAATCCACTGAAATATTTGTTTCATGTTATGTTTGATGAACTAACTTGGACTGTTTTCACTTGATCTGTGCATATTTCTCTCCTACTTCAGACGAGACAACTTTTTCGCTGGAGAAAAGCAATATTACTAATAGAGGACTCGTATTTTAGATAGAAGCAACTGTTTGAAGTTAAAAACGTCCTAATGATGGATTTGTTTCTTACAAACACGCAACTTTTCACTTCACAAGCTGTTAATTGATGGACTGGAGTGGTGTGGATTACTTGTGATTTATTGTGATGTTTTTATTAGCTGTTTTGAACTGACGGCACCCATTCACTGCAGAGGATCCATTGGTCAGCAAGTGATGTAATGAAAAGAAACAAACTCCTCTACATTTTAGATAATCTGAGACTAAGTACATTTTCAGCAAATCTTAATTTTTGGGTGAACTATTCCTTGATCACACAACATATCTTTGTTAAAGTGTTTTATCCAAAGTAAATAATTTTTAAAAATCCAGATCAATGTACATTATAGTGAATAACACATGCTGAACAACTTTTCACACAAAACACCAAGTTAGAGACAACACAAACAAAGCGAAACTACGATCCCATTATTGAGCTCGATTTAGTGAAGTACTGTATTTATAAATTCCATTTTACATAATTTCTCAGTTTGTTAAAACAAAGCATGAGCTAGCTGTAAAAATAAGTGCTCAGTTTCTTTATGATGACCTAATGAGAGAATGACAATGAGGCTTTAGGAATGAGTTAAAGGCATACAGTACCTCACCATTCTTACAAAGACAGAAGCTTGTTAGGTTTAATGGTGAATATATTTTCCAACTCTTTTTGGAAAATGTATACATTTGCAGGGACTGTGTACATTAGGACAGAGGGGTGCTCTTATTTCAGTTTGTTTTGTTTGTTTATCTTTACAGCAAGTGTTTCCTAGCTTTTCAATCATTCAACCTTGTGTCGACATTAAAGAGTCACTGGTGACCTGTTGATTCGATGTGCACAAAGCAATTTTTTCACACAATAAAAAAAAAGTCAAAAAAAAAAAGTTTTTAAATATTTGCAATTAAAATTCATTTAATAATGAAAATTAATGATTAAAATAAAATCATTAATATTATTAACATCCAGCAATAATACTACTACTACTAATAACAATAATACATTAATTTAATAATAATAATGTTTCACATTTTTAACAAATCATTTCTGAAATAATGTTTTTTTTATTTTTGTGCTTTAAGCTATAATAATTTATTTTCAATTACAGATATAATTCATTCAATACAGAAAAGTAGTGATTAAAACAAAGTATTAGCATTTAAAATATTGAAATAAACCCGTGAGGAGTGCTATTTTTATGACACATGACGTGTGAAAAAATTAAGTCGTGGAATAAATTAATAATCACAAGTGGAAAAAAAAAGTGGGGGAAAAAAATCTGAATTTTCATAGTGGCATTGGCAAACCAAAATTATTTGATTTTGCATGATGCTGCATCCACAATATGTCAAATTACAAAATATATATATATATATTAAGTCAACATGCAGTTGTTCGGATTCAAGTTTCTCAACGTCAGAGACCCTCATGAATGCAGGTTTTCAACAAAATAGTATCAAACTGGTTTTATCTTATCATAAATCTTCACTAAACAAACAAACAAACAAACAAATATAAATATAAACAAATAATATTAGTAATAACAACAATAAACAAACAAACAAAGATTTCAAGGTGAAAAACCGCCACAAAATGTAAAATAATAAAAATAATTATGGCAATGTTTGCTGGCTAAAAAACAAAAAAACAAAAACAACCTAAATAGCCTTTTACTAAACATAAATATATTGAATATAGATACAGCTTTGTGACTCGGGTGCATGATCATTGTTGTTGACTCAGTGATACAAACACACTGTTGTTACACTAGATCTTGTGTACTGTTGGGTTCTTGAATCAGATGTTAATGATAAACCAAAACTCTTAAACTGTGATTCTGATGTTTACGAACAGAAACGGTTCAGACAACAGAAGAGAGATCTGTCTTACCTCTGAGAAGGGGGCATGCTGGGAGACCGTGAGCGTGCTCGGTTGATGTCAGCTGACCGAGAGCAGTGATTGGACGATAAGACCTGCTCAGGCACAGAGAGGGTGGAGCTCTGGAGGTCTCTGCCGTTTCTATAGTCTGTAACGAAGCAAAGGGAAAGAATTAATGAACAATTGTGCACTCATTTTTACTACGTGTAAACTAATGCAAAACTGTTAAACCCTTTACTGATAGCAATTTAAACATGCTTTAATAAAGTCCTGCAAGCAAAAATGTTTAATCATACTAGATTATCTATTTAACACCATGTGTTTTTTCTTAAATGGCTGTAAAACTTGCTTTTTAAAGCCAATATGTTATAGTCATGAATTAACTTAACTCCCATTAAATCAGAAAACAGCTTTCACAACCAAAACCAAAATAATTACTTTTTTCCTCATGCAAGAGCCGTCAACCCACTCAGCCTAATGGCATTTCATTACCCAGCATTCAGTGTGGCCATGCTAAGGTCAGTGCCTCGCATGATTACAAAAGACTGATGTTCAACTGACTGTATCGCACAATAAAACAAGCCGAGCAAAGGTGGAACAACATATCAAAGAGAAGTTCAAGGAGGGAATTTCTGCCTTTATGATGGCTTATTATTGACTTTTTATTATGATCTATGAGCTGATTCTAATAGAGTTTGATGTTTTCATGTTGCTAATGGAATATGTACCAACCACAAACTGGATAAAATAGTCAATTTTAAACGATTATCTCAGTTTTAAATTATATATATATATATATATATATATTTTTTTTTTTGTCATAAAATATATAATTATTATTAAAATTATAAAATTATACCCATAACTAGACATCTTGAAAGGTAACATAATGATACACTAACATTAAAAATGTATTTGAAATAAGTCTATTGTGCTTATCAAGGCTGCATGTATTTAATCAACGTAAAATCAATTTAAAATGACAGTTTTTTATTTTAATATATTTTAAAATATAATTTATTCTTGTGAAGCATTGCTGAATTTCCAACATCATTACTCCAGTCTTCAGTGTTACATGAAATCATTCTAATATGCTGATTTGCTCCTCAAGAAACAAAAATTATTATTAACAATGTCGAAAAGAGTTGTGCTGCTTAATATGTTTTTGTGGAAATCATGACACATTTTTCAGGACTCTTTGATAAATAGAAAGTTCAAAAGAACATTTTGATAAATTTACTGAATAAAAGTATTAACTTAAAAACTAAAAAAAAGTACTGACCCCAAACGTTGGTGTTAACAAATTTTTGCATCGCCTAAAATGTTGTCTAACCAGGCAGCTCACTAGCATTTGGAACAGAGCTACAGTATCTATTGCAGCAGGGGCGTAACCATCATTTTTGAAGTGAGGGGGACAGAAATGTTAAAAATAAATAAATAAATAAAAATTCCTGACTTTTGTCTAATTGACAGGCTTTGTTTTTTCTTTTCTCTTTTAAATGACTAAGAAATCAAATACACTGCTAGACAATAACCAATAATTTGTATTCTATAATACGTTTTTCCTATATTTTTCTAATTACAATTTTATGATTAGTTCATACAAACACATACTAAGGCAGAATAGTTTATATACTGTAATAATTGTTATGTCAATTATCACTGCATTATTCATATACTTCCTTTATTTATTACCTGGAAATTACTTGAAATGAAATCTTTTCACTGCAGCGATAGCGGGATGCCTTTGCCCATATTTGGGATTTCCCTCTTGCTCATCACAAGTTATTACATCTATGAGGCCGTTTTAGACTTTCTGAGCAAGAGCGCCCTCAGGCTTCGAGTATGAATGAAACATACACTGCATGAGGGTGTTTAGCACTCCGTAATGTTCACATCGTCTCATTTTGGATATGAATAAATATGAATAAATGTAAATGAAAAAATATTCCATACATACTATCTTGCTTCATTGCGTTTAAATCTAGATTTTTTTTCACACTGCCCATGCTTTCTACTTCTACATGAACACACTTGCCCGGAAAAAGTGCGGTGGATGAATGTATTGCAGTACAAGTAACATTGGTTTGGTCTGTCACACACATACTGTAGTGTCTGAACGTGACCTCGGCGTGCTCCAGCGCAGAGACTGCATCAGCACCGGTGCATCATGCTGCAATAAATGAATGGCTGCTAGACACACGGGCCAGAAAACAACAACAGCAGCACAGAGCGCATGAAGGGAAAGCAGCGATCTATAATTCCTCTGAATGTTAATCATCTCCTCCCGGCGGAAAGCACTGCATCAGCACTTTACAACCGGCCCAGAGACGGAGCCAAAATCAATGAGAGAGAAAGAGACTGAGGGAGGGTTTCCCTCTATCACAAAGAAGAGCACGACTGGAATTTTAAAAAGGGTGCGTGGATGTGTGTGTGTGTGTTTAGGCTTTCCCTTCCCATCTGAGATACCCGTAAAGATGAACATTTTAGCACCAGTATTAGGCTGATGAGTGGTGAAGATATCTATAACATACTACCATACTTCATACTGTGCACAGCAGGGCATTATTGAATTTATGAGAAATATGTGTCCCACATTTTGATTTAATCAACTTAGGTGCAAAAAGTTAAGACATTTAAACACAAAAGTGGATTAAAAATGCAAAAAAAGACATGATAATGAGATGATAATTGGACAATGTGACTACATTTTTGTTGTTATAAATTGCTAAATATTTTTTTTAGTATACAGTGTATATATATTGTGTGGTACAGAGTACGCAGTATCGTCTTATATTTTTAAAAAGTATATAATGTGCAGTGTTATTTTAGTATTATTTATATACTATTGTAGTATTTATTCATATCAAAATGTTCAAATTTTATTTTTTACAAAAAATTACTTTTCATTTTGTCATTTTATGTGCTTTGTCATTTTTTTTGTTTTTGTTTTTATTATTATTATTTTAATATTTCTATTTAGCTTTAATTTATCTTTAAGTTTTAGTCATTTTTGTACTTGAACTTATTTTATTTTAGTTAGCCACCATGGAAACAATTTTTTGCTTCTAATATAAATTTTTTCATTTTATTTTAGCTTTACTTTTGGTTAACAATAACAACACTGTATGCATTATGCAATGCAAAACATTTCAAACAATAGTATGCTACATATACAGTAGCATAGATGAAGTATACAGTTTATCAGTGGCGGCTCGTCGGGGGAGGCAGGGGAGGCACAGCTTCCCCATAATTTTGAGGTGAAAATGGGAGTAGGACGATTTAATGTTAATAAAATTCACAATTCATTTCAGTTCATGTCTCAGAATGTGTATTTTTTGTTAGTAATTTCACAGTTGTAATACCATAACGTGAAAGCGCCGCTTTTCTATCGCGAATGTGCCGAATCTGCTGATGTAATTACAACCGCTAATGATAGAGAAGGGGGGGAGGCCGGGGGAGAGCTGAGCTCGCGTGCCTCCGTTGGTAAAAAAAAATTGCCAATCACCATCGAGTGTTCACTTTCAGCGCTGAGGAGTGTCGAGAAAAGAAACCTCGCCGAGGAGGCTAGCCTCC